ACCTTAGTTTTGAGTCAATTCTTGATTTTGCTTCTGGAACATGATACTGTGGCCAGGTTCCGCAGACCTCGAATACCCATTCCATTTCATCAGTCTGAAACCACATGACAGACAACTGGTTCAAACTGGGGCCCCTTGTTTTTGGCTTTCCTCCTACACAAATTTATAACTCAATATTGGGGTTGGAGGGGGAAGTGCGAGGCGGAGATCGCGACAAGTCTCTTTCTGATTTGTACCAAAGTAGTTTCCCCAACCTGAAATCAACGGAACCAAGGCACTGATGAGTCGGTGTACATCGGAGCCTTTGCAGGAAAGATATCACTTTTTCAAAGTAATGATGGATTACCGAAAATAACTTGAATCCTCAAATTACAAAAACAATTCAAAACTCAACTTTGAGTAGTGATTTAGCTGAATACGATGCAGACCCTATTTTTGCCGATGTGGTTATTAAAGAGAACTTATAAATAAGAAATAATGCGGGTCAGAATGAGTCAAATAAAGGGCACAAAGACCACCCTGGCTTATTTATTCGTTTTATCTATAATATTCTATATTCTACAGAAAAGCAAACCCAGGCCTTCACGTGGGCCCACGAGAATTCACAGAGGGAGGCGGTACCGGTGGGACGCGACACACTGTGGGAAGTGTCGAGGGTTTGGGGGCGAAGGAAGTTTGTGTCTGTTATTTTTCTTTTCCCTTTTCCAAGGTCACGAATGTTCGAAGTGTCGTGCATGGGTTCTGATGTTTGAATATAAGTACATAGCTGCCCGATTCGGTCCACTACTATCCACATGCACCAAAAACAAAATATATGGAGGTGTATCTTCCCATGTTCTAGAGGAAGATTCATTCTCATTTTGCACATTTGGTGAGTAGTGGAGCCAGGCCCTCATAGTGGCACTTTCGATGGCCTCGCTCCGCTACTCACCACATGCAGAAAAGACAAAATATGGCAGCGTATGGTTTCTAGCTGACCAGGTTTAGGGCATACTCACATCCGGACTTTGGACAAAAAAAAATGGCAGTGTATCTTTCCATGTTCTAGCAGAAGATTCCTTCTCATTTTGCACATCTGGTGAGTAGTGGAGCGGGTCCCATGGTTTGACCCGCCATGGGTGCCGCCACTTCGTTTTTTTTTTTTTTTGCGGGGGTGGGACTTTGTGCCTCCCAGCCCACGATCCGTCGGACATGCTATGATGATCCACACCACCACGTGGTACCTCCCAGCCCACAAAGTATCACCTGGCCCAGATTGTACTACTTAGTTCGCATGGTACGTTCATGTGGTGAATGGTGAAACACAGCCCTCACTGTCATCTGTCGTCTTGGGCTGTTCCTTGCACCCTGCCCGCTGAGCATCGTCGCTGGCCACACCATACAGTCCTTAGTGTATGCCCTGCTTGGTCCAATCTTGGTGTGTATGGGCTGTGAATGGGGCCTGGGGCGCGCGATTGCCGTGCTGGGCCCGCTCTGTCTCCCACGGGTGTAGCCGCGGCGGGTCCACTCGTTCGTATAGTGGCAATTTGAGTTGGAGAGTCGTGTGATGAGCGACCACGCGCACAGTTTGGAGAGCACTTGTTACGACCGTCTAGGCTCGACTCTTCGAGCCTACAGGTGAAACCGTTTAGTCCTACGCTCCTCCTTTCTTGCCCTGGGTAGAAAGCCATGGTCATTATTGCTGTACAAGGTCTGAAAACTGCCGGATACTTTTCCGCCAGCAAGTCATAAGAGTACAGGCTTGACATACTCACAGTTCCTTCACATACTCATAGTGCCCAGAAAAAAACGCTCCAACAAAAAAATGCAGACCTGATGGAGGGCCTCCCAAGAGTGAACCTCCCTTCTCCCTCACTGGCAAACAAAGTTTAGCAATCAGCACCATACACAGACTTAAAAAAAAAAAAAAAACTTACGGTTCTGGGCCTTCTGGCTCCTTTTCCATTCTGTGGAGCATCAGTCCGGTTCCTATTCCCCCGGCATGTCAGAAAGGCTTACAAAATGTACCCACTCATGCTCCTCACCCTTATGGCGGAAAGGCCCGAAGGACGACATTGATTGCTCCCTGAAGGAAGGATGAACCATCTCTCGCCCCTGCCTAAGTTAGCCGGTTCTGCTAATCTGCTATCCTAGCTTACTACCGTCTTCACCCAAATAGGCCCGGTCATTATCGCTGCATCTCGACTGAAAGGTGGGCCAAATGCAGCTACAATGACCGGGCGTTCTATTCGGGTGAAGACGGTAGTCTGACTGTCCCGCTGCCCTTGGACTAGGAGGCTTATTTGTCCTGGTCCCGTTCAGCCTGTTCCAGTCAGCAATACCTCTACAGTCTAGACGTCAGAATTGCTGATAAAACCCTTTGGTGGAAACATATGTTGCACCCTGATCCCTCTGTGACTTGTCTGATGTGAGCTCCATGCCCTAGCACAGGCTAGCAGGTAAGATTATGGAATTGCAGATCTTGTTCTCTTCTGATTCTGGTACCATGTAGTCTAATCATCTCTCCTCCTTGGCTGTCGGTGATTCTTATGTAGCTAAAAAATCTGGGTTGCACTGTTACTTAAAAAAAAAAAAAAAAAAGATTTTCGAATTTAGCTGTTTCCCCTCCCCTTAAACTTAAGGCTATTGCATAGTATGCATACCTTGCCAATAAGCTACTCCCTAGACGGCTTGTAAACTGTTGTTGGCCTAGAGGCCTTTATGACTGATTCAAGGTCTGGGTTTTATGACAGTTCTGAGAGGCAGGTGGCGCGTTGAGGTTGGGGGCGAGGACTGTTCATCGTGATGAGGGGTAGTGTGGTGGATAATAGGGGTTAGGATTCAGGGCATCGTCTCAAAAAAAAAAAAAAAAAAAAAAAAAAAAAGGATTCAGGGTGGTGCGGTTGTCGTAGGTGAGTTGGGTTTGTGATGTGGCGGTGAGACACGAAGGATGAGAACATTGAGAAGGTATTTAGATTGGTGACTCCAGGTTGAGTTCGGGAGATGCTTGATGATGCGCGGTAGTTGGGGGGAGTGCGGTGGGAGGACAGACATATAAATATTAAATAACTAGTTCTAAGATATTGAACGGCTTCACGCTGCAAGCCTACCAGTCCCTGTTACAGAGTCCCCAATTATTGCAGTCCGCAGGCCCTACTGGTAGTTAAATCTTAGCGTCTGTAGGTCTAGGCGTCGTAGGTCTGTAGGAACAGTACCTGTAGGATCACGCCAGTCCCCAAAGGTCCAGTTTTTGCAGCAGCCTCACAAGAAAGGTGAGAACTTTCCCAAAATAGCAACTTGGCAGGGCAGAGGCAAAAGAAGGCCGGTACAGATTGAAGCAGGCAGGCCCAGTCCACAAAAAAAAAAATACTTTGGGCTACAGTACTGGATGGCAGACAGTTGTTCATTTCGCGAATTTGTGGAGCGCTGTTGGAGCTGTGCGAACTAGCAACCTGGACGAAGAAGTGCGCTGAAGGGAGAAGACGCCCAGCACCCTGGCTGAAGGAGACGACCATAGCCCTGGCTGAAGGAGACGGCCATAGCCAGGAGGGGGAAGAAGCAGACTTGGCGGCCATATCCAGGAGGGGGAAGAAGCAGACTTGGCGGCCATTACCGCCTGATGTTGAGAGAGACACGCTGCAGTAGTATTCAGGGTAGATCTCGGACGTAGATGGAGGAGAGAACAGAAAGGGAGAGCAACGGGGGTGAACAGTGCAGAGAAGAGAGAGAGAGAGAGAGAGAGAAACAGCGAGAAAAGCAGCAGATTGGACAGGGGAAAGTCGGGATCCGAGTCAGGGGTTGTTTCCGCAGTTGGTACCGCCCAATTCAGAATTTCTTTCCAATTGCAAATATTGTTGTATCTGGGTGGAACTTCGAACTCTGCACAGTTCATGGCCATATCTGAAGCTCATGTGAGCTTTATCTGATTGCTCTCAATTGTGCATGTTGCTTTGTGAGTGAAATAGTGTCAGGATCTTTGCAATATTCATAAAAAGGTTATTAATACTTATCATGTGTGGGTTCATTGAACTTCATTCATACTATCCCGAAGGACACAATAATCTTCTTACCAGCTATCCCCTTCACAAAAAAAGAAAAACAACAAAACAAACAAAAGGAAGGGTGGCCTTCAGAGGTCACCTAATAGTACCTGGATAACGAGACGTCCCACGAGGATCTTGCCATAGCTCTTGGGAGAGAAGGAGAGGAGGAACTCCTGCCCCTTAATCACCTCCTTGTTGTTGATAACTTGTCTGACAGGATTCAACATCCCTGATGTCGGAAACACTTCGAACTCAAGAGGAGACTCTGTGCTGAAGAATGCTTTGAATGGGCAGGGTCTGGACGGCATATACGGCAGCTCAAATGAAGCGGTGTGTGTCTTCCCAACAACACCCTCCAGCGTAATCCTGCCATCTATGTCCGGCTCGGTCGCCTGTCATGATGTCATCCATGCAATCGGAAATGACGGTTCGCCCGGGCCAATTAGAATTTCGAGGAGAGAAGCTTTGGTGATTGTATGCAGTACTTGGAGCACTTGGCAAGGGGATAAACAGAAAACAAATGAAGGAAATGATGATCGTACAGGCGTGTGCAGAAGGGTTATCGATTGGCATAGACAGAACGATTATCAATTTCACAGCAAAGGCAGGCTTCTGAACTGAAGTAAGAAGTTCGGACGAAAAAAGGAAGTAAGAATGAAAACTAGACAACAGCAGCAGCACTTTGGAAAGAAACAGGACCGGGGTGGGGTGGGGTGGGGTGGGGTGGGGTGGCCGGGGCAGGCGTGCGGGGGGCTTTTTTCCTTTTCTGTACTAGTTTTTAACTTCTTTAATTAGCAACAAAATACAGGCCCAAGAACCCAGAAGAGGAGGTTGCTTTTTTTTTTTTTTTTTTTGCCCTTTAATAAAAGGGGATACCCCCGCTGACACGGTTGTGTCCGTTTGCTTTCATACGTTCAACGCTAAGCCCTTAACCCTAAACCCTAAACCCTAAACCCTAACTGGTGATTTGTTTGCTAACAGCTCCATATGTCTACCATTTAGGCAGATGGGTGGGGTTATGTTGCTATTTTTGTTGCCACTATGCGATTGTAATCATGCTATGTATGCTGCTTTTACATTTTTTTATTTTTTTTATTTTTAGCTTCTAGTTTTGCACCAGGGCAGTTAGCAAAGGGGAAAAGAAAAAAAATAGTAAAATAGTAAAAATACCCTTCCTGTTTCGTTGACAACTAGGTCTTCTTTTTTCAACTAACCATCCTTG